TTTTGTTTACTATGTAAAAATTCAATATACCACGTAGATCATATGAAAATTGATCTACATACACCCTACCCTTAAGAAGGGATTTGTCAACTTTCAAGCGAAGACGAGATCATTGAATTATATAGTTAAGTACTCTTAGTGGGATGTGGCAATTCTGACTAAGAAGACTTACAATAATATTATTTATATATTTTTTCTCATGCTAACTTCAATTTCTATCTATGATCTGGTCACGAGGTAACCTCTTCCGGCCTTGGTCCTCCAATCACATAGTCTGGCTACAGATATGTCCGGAGAAGTAAATCACTAGTCTGAATGTATTGGTTATTTTTTTCCATATTTTTTTTCCAACTACAATCTATATAATTGCAATCAGTAGTAAGGTAAGTATGGAATATATTATCATTGGCATCATTAAGAAACCCACAATAGTAAGAGTAGTTGTTAGTAAAGACTCGGCTTCTGCACCACCTAAAGAAAATATTTGAGAGGGTGGAGGGTTAAGAGTGGAAAGTTGTGATTCTTTTAGAACCTGTTCACTCTCTTTTTCTTTTGCATCACTCGTAAAGGGAAGCACATGCTCAGCTGATCCTTCTGGGACCGTTTCATTATCTTTCTTTAACACTAAACCTTGGAGGTAAGAATTTTCCTCTATTAAATTTAATTGCACAGAAGACAATCTATCTAATTCCCGTTTATATATGACATCTGTTGCCTCTATTCCTTTTTCTATACATTCTATTTCATGTTTTTTGAATTTAAATCCTCTTTTACCCGTCCTAATTCAAGCCTAAGAGAATCAATTTCAGATAAGTTTGTTTTGGCCGGCTTCTCTAGTAACTCTCCTGAACCTTGGGATGCATGTGATGGGGAACCTACACGTTCTAGTTCCAGGTGCTTCACTTCAGCTTCTAATTCACCTATCTTAGCTTCGAGAGAAAGAATCTTGATCTTATCGAGGGATGATGCTTTCTGGGCCAAGATCGCTTCTCTCTTCAATGATTATATCGAAGATTTGAGTGATTTTATTTCAGCAGAATGTTCGACTTCAAACCCATTACGGGACATCCATTCAGAAGTAATTTGGGATCTAAGCCTAGTATTAACTGCATCTATTTGGCTAATCTTATTTTTAACAACAGCGTTAATTTGGTGAAACTTTTCCTTTTGCTCCGAATACTCTGAAATTTTAGCCTGCAACTCTTCACTAAGATCATTAATTTTAGAGTTATATTCAATAGCTAAATTTAATTTTTTTTCAAGCTCTTGCTCATATACACTTCCTAGCCTATGCCCTCTATTTTTTATATCTTTTAGTGTATGCACATTGGGTATAATCTTGGTATAATTATATAGCAAGAAAAATACATTGCAATTTATTTTTTTTTCTATAAATACTATATATATTGATACGCATCGATGATATATCAATATATATTGAAGAGTATTAATACGTATTGGTGATATATTAATATATATTGAAGACCATTAATACGCATTAGTGGGTATTGAAATATATTAATATACATTGAAAAGTATTGATATACATACATTGATATTTATTGAAGATTATTATTTTTTTTTCTAGTATATAAAATAAAATCTAGTGAAGATGGTAGCCCATATCCATGATACATTTTATGATGCTAAGGCAATCTTGTTATCAGAAGCTGATATCAAGAAAATTAGAGAATCCAGAGGTAGGATACCCAATGCATCAAAAAAAATAGCTGATAAATTCCATATTGGACCCAAGTGTGTTTATGAAATATGGGATAATAAAGAACGTCTCCAGCAAGATATTATTCCATCTCAGCCTGTTTTGGTTGAGAATTCCCAGACTGGTAAGATAGAACAGATTGAGTCAGATATACATGACCAAAATGCTTCCCCTTCACAGAACTAGAAAATAAAACATGTAATGTGAGGGTAGAGCCTAGCAAATCTACTGATTCAACGCAGAAGGAAGTAAGGCGAAAAAATCTGGAGGAAAAAAATCAAAACCCAAAAATGAGCTAGCTCCATTAATACTATCTACTATTCAGTCTCAACTTGTGAATTTAAAAGGCTCAAATATAAATAAAGAGAAATTACATGCATTGTATGAGGAGATGGTTAAAAAAAGCAATAAAAATTTAGCAAATGTGAAAGTATAACTTTGAAAATAACTAACCTATTTTAAAGAAGTTTATCATAGCATATCTGTAGTCTTTCGCAATATTCATTAATTTCTGCGTTATACTTGAGAGTGATATATAGCATTTTTTTAAGCTCTTCATAGTTCATAGGTTTTTTTTTAATATATCATTATTCTCACTTAAGTCTTGCGAGTCTTGCAAAATAGACTCTGAAGGGACAAACTTTTCACATTCAGAAGTAATGTTCATGCAATTTACCTCAAGCTTATTTTTGACCTTATGCATGGTTACCAGAATGATATAATCTTTTTCATTATGAGGAAACTTTAATTCGTTTTTACCCCAATCCACAGTGCAATTATATTTCTTTAAAAGCTGGTTAGAAAATATTAGGGTTGGCTTGTTATATTTCACAATAACAAAATCTTCATGAATGGTAAGACTGGGACTGGGGGCTAAAGTAATAGGTAAATCGCGAACCACTCCAATTGATTCAACCAGAACAGTGGCGATACCACTAAGATCGTGTGTTTCAGACTTATCAATTTTAGCCTTTATACGATCAACAATATTTTCGGTTACTATAGAAGGCTCTGCTCCAGAATCAAGGGTCATAGCAGGAATCTTTAAGCACTTGATTTTACACTTCACGGTTGCAACACTTGTGGGTGGCTTCTTCTTCTTGACGAAATCGATTTCCATTGGGCCATCCAAATAGTCTTCCTCCTCTGGGTCTGGTGATACGACCTTGGCAATTGAAGAAGTATTGCTTTGAGATTTTATCTTTTCCTGGAATAGAGACGGTTGATTTGGTATATTGGCTTTAATAGAGTTTTGAAAGAAATGATCAGGAAAAATTGATTTAAGTTCATTTTGGAGGATTTTACGAATAGTTTCCTCCAATGAAGTTTTAGGCAACTTTTTAAGGAACGATTTCTTGGAGCTAGAGTTCCATTTCACTTTTTTTTTAACTTAGCAATGTTAACAGTGATATCACCTCCAGAATCGGAAGAATCTTCTAAACTTGTATTAGAGTCAGAGCTATCACTAGATGATGTATTAGTGGTAGAATCCGAATCTGAGTTTGAATCTACAGTGGCTAGATTAACCTTACATTTTTTAGACTTCTTGCTTTTCTTTTTCTTCTTTCAAGAGCAGTTTTGCAAATTGTGTCCAGATCTTCCGCACTTGGAACATTTGCGACCCGAAGAGAATTTCTTAACAACACGTTTGATAGCAGTATTTATAACACTATTTAATGTTAATCCCACTAAACTATCTGAAATATCATCTACAGGATCATGATTATTTTTATCGGCAGGGTGTATATATGGTTTTTTTTTTAGTAAGTCACTCAAAAAACATATAACAGCAGTATTTTCCACTCTCTTATTAGCTGATTTTTTACTATTATCTAGAGTTTTAGTCGCTCGAGACATAGTCTCTTGCAAGGATTTAGCTATGGCTTGTAAATCAGCTTTAGTAATATTTTTCTGACCGGAAGAAGATGCTGGTGATTGATTTAGTGTTGATTGTTGTAATGCCTGAATCTTACTATTTACAATCCTATCAACATCTTCTGTGGTAATACCCTAATAAGAAGGTGCTTTTGGTTTTGTCTTAGTAGCTGGCTGGTTATAAATATCTTTACCCAAAAGCATGTCATTCTTTTCTATTTCAATCTGTTCCAAGGTTTCAATCAAATCATCATTCAAAGGTCTGTTTAAACCTAATCGCTTCAATTCTAACTTGTTTTCAGAGAACAAGCCACGTATAAATTGTATTCTTTTTTCACAATTAGATATTCGGGCCCAGCTAGCATATTTATCTATCTTTCTATAGTAATCTCTAACTAAATCAGATCCTTGAGTCAAAGTACCAAAAATCATTTATTGTTGCTCTCGAACAACTGTAGGATAATTTCTTTTAAACCAATAGATGACCTGACTAATATTGATATCAGGGAGAACTATATAGTTATTATTATTTAAAACTCCATTTAGTGCATTAGTTGCTGTACCAGTGTCTACAGGACACCCCCCAGCAAGAGACCAATCCTTATCCATATGAACATTATGTGCTAGAATAACTGTGGCGCCAGTAGCTCCACCCGGTAATGCTGGTAGTAGAGTACCATCTGGTGCATTGATCATAGTGGCTGTTATGTTAGCATTATTCAGGGCCACTACGACGGCCATATTTGCTAAAGCATTCCCACATCTTACATGATTCAATCGCTATTTTTACCTATGAGTTTGTCTTCGACCCAACGTGATGCCTCACCTGTCAAGCATGACCGAAATAGTTCTAAAGCTCTCTGTTTGCCGGCCGCATTAGCAGTATTAATATTGGCCACCATAAGATAAAGTCTATAATCTTTTATGAATTCATCTATATTTTCATCTGCTCTACCTGAGAATCTTTTGGGTGCATATCCTGCCATTCCTATTTGTTGTATATTAGGTGGGTTATTCTGTAGCACAAAAATTTGTTGATTTAAAATTAAAATATTCTGGTACTCTGCATGAGTTTTGTTTTTCCATTTCTCATATCGCTCATAAAGTCTGTCTCTATTATATTCTAACAAACCTCTATCGGCTCTGCATCATTGTAGGTGGTGGGCATTTCGTTGATATAAGATTTGTAAGGCAAATTTTTCCTGTAGTAATACACAAATATGGGTTCGCTTTCCTGTTATATTGTCTAACATTCTGTTTACTTGATTCTGAGCATTAGTCCACAACTGATCACGCTCCTGCATCGCTTAATCACGCTCCTGCCTGTATATATCACGATTCCATCATTCGTTTACTAAATCCTGTTGCAGGTTAGCATATTTTCATCGGATTGATCTTGTTGCCCTCTTAATTTAATTTTTTAAAATAGTTGGACATATTGTTGTATCATCTAGGGAGCGGTCTATAGCATCGGCTAATTCGGCTATTGTACCCATATCTAAATTTTGATCAAAATTATAAATATCTAAAGAATACTCATCAGAGTTGGA